ATGAAGGTCACATGAAGTATTGATGGTCCAAAAATACTTGTGCAAACCCAAACCCTAATTTTGGGTTATCAGTGCAAGATGAGATGTCTTGAACTGACCAAACCCTAATCTTGTCTTGAGTCAAAGAAGTCTGGTAAGAAAAATCTTGATAAATGAGAGGACAAATTTTGGGGTACAACAGGGTCAACAAACAAAAATAAAGAATCTCGCATACAGATCAGGTCGAAATAAAGGGCAAACTACCTAAGCACACCACAGGATCCTCACTTTTGAGGAGATCCTTAACATTTATAAGACCAGGTTCAAAAATCAGATTTTCATCCTCATTGTCTAAATCCCTTCCCCCTTTGCCCATACGTTGGATTGGGGGGATCCCCGAAACAAAGGCCGACAAACGATCATGACTACCCTGGTCCTTGACACCCAGTTGGCCCTTCTTCCAAATATAATGGTCGGTCCAATCATCATAATGTTTCCTCGACTAATGAAAATGAAACTTCAGCACCAATTTCACCACCGGATTCCCCTCCTTGTTCAGCACTGGTCCCGCGGCCTCGTCGGCCAGTGGGACACTCCTAAAAATGTTCAGCAATGCCTTCCCTGACACAGGTTGGACAAGCATATACCTCCCCTTAAAATCTTGAACCGACTCGAGATAGGCTTTAAACAGCTTCTCGTTCTTCTGTTTGAGGGAAAACAATCCGAACTGGGAACCAGAGGTGTCTCGTTGAAGGTGGAAGCAGTAGAAAAATAGAGGAACGGTGGCCCCTATTTGCAAATCAGTCACACACAATCTTGAAAGCCCAGAGGAAGGAAATCGAATTGGGATGTAGTTATGACAGAGCAGGGAGAAGGTGTCGAAAAACGACAACCTGGAGATCAGTGAAAGGAAGTCGGAAACCCATCTCTCGAAAGAAAATTTCATACATATGGATATGGTTCGCCTCAAACTTCGAGCATATCCAATGGTTCGAACGAGGAATATAGATCGACCACTCTTCCTCGGTACCCTCCAAATCCATCCCCGGAGCCACCGAGCTGAACACTTTGTCTGAATGCTCACAAAAGCCGGAGGCATGTCCCAAGGGGCCCGACACTACCCAAGCTAGAGGATCCACTAGAACCATGAGCATATCCTGGACCGCAGGCACATCCTACTCCACCTCACCCGATTCTGACACTGCTAGTTCATGATCAGGTATTTTGAAGTGCTCCCCTCTGTTGACGAATATTTATATAAGCTTTGCGAAGAATCACTAGGTGAACCCATGAACTCATCATCAGTACCGCTGGTCATTATACCTGAAAAGTTGAGGATAAAAGTGAATTCGACATCAAAATTAAATTCAACCTTCCACCGCTAATCAAGTGAAAGGGTGCAAAGGAATGAGGACCATGTCCCCGACCAAAGCCCTCACTCAACAGCAAAAAATAGACTCTCTCATCAGGCATATCCGCACCGAGCAAGAACATAGGCCCTGCGAGCAGTTATCCCCCTAACACTTCTAGGTTGAAGCCGCTTCTGAAGATTCATATTTCCTCATGAGAATCATAGCAGAAACCCAGAAGCGGACCCAACACTGCCAGAGAGCTCATCACGAACTACCGTCACCAACCCTAAGTTCAAAGCATCTCTATCGAGCTCACAGAAGAACCATCGTACTCAGGCGACAAAACCATTGTCCAGAGCCAACACTGTGCTGGGGATTCTCACGCTAAGTTTCTCTAAACCCTAGTCACATGCATTTCTAAGAAAAGAAGCAGAAATTATGACCTATAATAGAAGCAAATCCTACAGAAATAAGGGGAAATCGAGAAACTCACCAGATTATCAAACATTTATCGGTGAAATAGATGGAAAACACAGCAGCAAACGGCGGAATGAGAAAGGGCTTCAAAGAACAACGATGTCGGGTAAAAATGAGCAGTGACGAGTAGAAAGAGAATAAGCGAAAAGTGCAAATGGAGCTCCCTCTCCGCCTTTTATAAAGCAACTTGCTGACACGTGAGCGGGCACGCGCCTAGGAAACTAAGAGACGTCATCATTGCACCCTAGTTCCTAGGCTAGCCATCATTACGCCTTTATGACAACATGTGGCTCGATGCAAGCATGATACGCAAACTCCCCAAATTCGAATTAGTTGTTCCTCTCTCCGCATGGCGAGCACACCGAGCATCACTTGTGCTCCTCGTACGGAGCCGACCACAAATCACCTCTGTTTCATGAGCATGTATTAAAGTCATTGTTCTTCTGGCCATAAGCAACGACTTGGGGGGCTCATGTTCTAGATTGGCCCAATGACTAGAATTGACCTAATCCACTTTTGCCTCAGTATGGCCCAAACAGCTTTGGCTCACTAACTCTGATCTCTTGTCGAGCATACTTAATCGAATACACCAGGGGAATATCAGGGACTATGATGCCATGGTCATGCGCTCGTGCGCATCAATGATCGATTTCATTCCTGCTCTCCACTCGTCGAGCAGACAACCAAGAAGGCGCTCGAAACGCATTTTCCCGTCGTCTCACCCTTGCTCGAACCAACAGCTAGTTACGGGCACGATTTCCCGTTTTGACTGAGTCCTGGCAGTTACCTATTTTTGTGGACCCGAATATCTAGGCCCAAAAATAGGAACCAGTGACTACGCGTTGGGGGCATTATATAAACCTTCACACTTGTGAGGGCCATGTATCCAATATTCACTCATAAAACCCTAATCTCTTTCTTGTATCTCTTTACACTCTTTCTCACTAGATCGTCGAAGTGCCTTGTAGGTACACCCCCTCCTATCCATAAATTTTCAGCCTAGCAGACGTCATCAACTCAGTCCACTTTCAGGTTTTTATCAACCGGTAAGATTAATTTACAATATAAAATGAGCACAAATCTCTTATTAATCATATCAATAACAAAAGAATTTACACCAATTCCTTTCGAGGACACACAAATATCAACAATGATGAAAAAGATGGAAAACCTATTGGAGGGTGAGGATCTCTCTCCACCCTTCATGCAAATCACACCCATATAAGAGTAGATTTCCCTCCTTACCTTAATTTTTCAGCAACAAGTTCTCTAATCAATGGTTTCTTCTCCCTCAAACCTTGTTTTGCATTCTCTCACAAAAGTTCTTTGTTATCCTAATTGTTTAATTCACGTATTGATACCAAATTAGCTTCACTAATCCCTTTTTATTAAAAAAGCTACTTTAATATTTTAATAATCTCACCTTGGTCCCAACTTGCTTCTAATTATGACCACTTCCCTTATTTCATTATAGTTTTTATTTTCCACCCAATTCCCCTTAAACCTTTATTTTCTATTTATTTAATTATCTAAAATTCTAATTAATTTTGTACACTTTCAATAAATCCCGCAAAAATTCTCAAGTACCCAAATAATTAAATAAATATTAATTTCAATCCAAATAAAAATATAAATACGAGAAACAAGGTGTTACAAATGGTTCCAGCCATATGTTGTAGTTGGTTGTCCCGATTAGTTTCTCGCACGGGATGAGCGGGGCTTTGATAAAAGTGATGAAATCGATTGCAGAGTGATCTCCCATTATAGTTTATAGTTGAAAATCGTAAAAACATGGCTACTTAGTGGTGGGGAAGACAGTGACAGTCAGGACGAACAACAAAAGGAGAAAATGCGACAAAAAATAGATATAGTGTAGTGCGGGTGAGGCTCATGCGCCTGAATTATGGTCGCATGTAAAGGCTTATGAGATGTCAGTAGGGGGTGGTGTTTTGTCGATGGGTTTAGTAAAGGGTTGTGAACCTTGTGGTAGTGGTACGACAGTGATCTAATGCGTGGTGGCAGAGAATAGAGCCCTACAATGTAGTTGTATGTGTTGTGGGTGACAAGGTTTCTAGGACACAAAAGAAAGGATCGTGAAACCTTAACTTCTGATACCATATTGAAAGTGTGTTTATATGAATAATTGTGTGTCAAATGATATCACATACTCCCTCTGTCACATATTATAAGAGAAATTCACTTTTTAGATTCATTGAATAATTAATGTATCTGATCCATATAAATTAATTATTCAATGAATCTAAAAAATAAATTTCTTTTATAATATAAGACGGAAGAAGTATTATATATATTTATATGGATATGAGTTGTTTATAATAGATAAATGTATTGATTACAATTTATACATTTATACATACATGAGTTAATTGATCTTTACAAATTCTTAACTTATTTTAAAATAAATTTAAAATTTTAATTAATTTATACTAAAAATATTAAGAAAAAATTAACATAAATTAATAAATTCTTTATAAAAATATTTTTTTAGAACACATGTATTTAATATATTGAAACTTTAAATATAACTTTATTATATTTAATTATATTTAAATTTTTTTTAATTATAATATTCTTAATTAGGAAAGGACACATGTGTGATTAGGAAAGGACACATGTTATCCTGACCCAAAATATTAATATTCAAGTACTTATCTAAGAATTTGTCTTAAAAATGTTAATAAAAAAAAGATGTTTCAGATTTTTGTAAGGCGAGAAATGTCCAGAATTTTTCTGCAGTCCGCACATTAACAAAGATGAGGTATTTTCCGCATTTTCCTCCTCAAAAAATCGAAATGAAATTTACATTCCGAATATTTGAATCACAAAAAATGTGTTTAACTAAATGTTACGGATTTTGTCTCAAAACAGTCACAAATTTTTGTTCCCAATCCAGTAATTTAAGATCAAAGTATTTTACTGGCACAAAATCATGGTCTCTATAAAATAAAATAACAACAAAAGTCCAAACACTTCAGAAGGAAAAAGCTTATTAATAAATAAAAACCAGTATCAAAGGCAGTTTACAACATAAAGTACAACAAGATTAATCACTCCCTAAAGAAAGACAGTAAGAAATTTGATTTTTAAAAACTACGGCTCCACACAGAAATTTTCACTCTAGCTAGCTTCTATTGCATCTTCAACAATCTTGACCTTTGCCTTACAGTGACACTACTTCAGTCTCTTGTAAATTTTAGCCAAAAATGACTTCAATACGGCTTGAACTGCTTTGCTGGAATGAGCTTCAATGGAGGTTACAAGCTTCTCATAGCTCGCACGCTCATACTCCTTGAACACACCCTATACATTCGAAGTTTGAATAAATCATTCAAAGAAAATCAGTAACATCATGATGAATTGAAACGTTTTACCTTATTTTGTAATAAAATATAAACAAAGTTCAAACCTCGAGATTAAGCTCGTTATAAAGGATCTTCACTTTAGCAACATTTGCTGGATCTGGCTTCCCATAGTTCTCCTGTTCATCACAAAAAGTTGTTCCGGTTTAAGCATAGCAGAAAAACAAAGGAAAGAAGCAGAAGGAAATAACAGTAAGATGGTCACTTACATGTAAAACTTTCTTTTGTTCGTCATTGGAAAGTTCCAATGCTTTTACGACTAACCAAGAGCACTTAAAGTCTTCAATATCTGTGCCTATCTGGTTTCATATATAACTAAAATGAGATCAAAAAGAAAATGATGCTTCTTCAGTAACTATGGCATGAGCCGGTATATGCTTACCTTTCCAATTGTTTCAGGATCACCGTAGCAATCCAAATAATCATCCTGAACGAGAAAGAAAAAGAGATGAGAGAAAAATATATATTTTACAAGAGATTTCAAGCTGATGGCGACTAACACATAACTAGACTTATGATAACAAAAGTTACCTGAACTTGAAAATATGTGCCCATCTCAACAAGAATGTTCTTTACATCAACATGGTTATCCAGAATCTCGCCCGCCATGAGCAATGCACATGCAACCTGTGAAAATAAGAGATAAAAATATGAAGATAAATAACATAATAACAGATTTATACATTCCATTGTGATAGGATTATTGAAAATGAAAAAAAAAATAAAAAAATAAAAAAGTTCTTTTAAGTAAAGACTCGGAAAACAATAAGCGGAAAGATGGAAGGAAAAGATGTGAGTTCAAACAGAAGAACGCAATAAATGTATTGCATCGTGTTTTTCTTGCTGGATAAAAACTATTATATTCTTCTAGTACTATAGAACCATTTGTCATCAGCATCTGGAGGAAAGAAGACAAGGAACCTAAATTAAGGAAGCAGGACAAATATGTAGGATATAACACTTACAGGAAGGTAAAATGAATAATAGGCAGTCTTGTATTGTACAATACGTCGGTGCCTGCACAAGATGGCGGAAGCTGTTATTGTGTTTCAACTCAGAAAGAGACAGTCGGCAAGAATGGAAATGAAGTATATAAAGTTGCTTTAAAGCTTAGTACATTAATAAACAAAAGGTCTGAACTTCACATGATATAAAAATATTGCTGTGAGATAACATAATAACAAGAAATTCCTTATTTTATACCATAAACACAGCTATCTCTCTTTTGACACTAAAAGATATCATATAAAACTGTTATCTGGTAGCCAAGTTTTTCTTATTGCGTGGTTCTAATACTGACATTCACGTTAGAGGTTCATCAACATAAATTCTTCGCAATTGTTTCTGTACTCACAGTGATAAAGTGTATTTGGACAGGTCTTTTTCTCCTTCCAGTGTGGTGATCAAATCTATCATCTGTCCTGCAGCAGTTTGAAACTCGACCTAATAGAAAATCAACACGGTTAATTTTTAGCGTATAAGCAAAATGAAACCCACAGAATTCAAACACTGAGATTTGTGGTATACCTCGTTGAACAAATCAAGGAGATCGACATAATAAGGCTTTCCCTTGAAGTGTTTCCTAAGTATACGCGGAATATGGTTTCTTAGTAGAACTCCATCATTTGCTGCAATCATTCCGACCTTCACCATAGAGTAATTAGAGGTTATTATCTTATCACAACAACAACAACAACAACAACAAAATAACATGATAGTACAATCAAACTTTTTCTTCAAACCTTGGGTACTCTAAACCAACATGGCTGACCGCGACGTGTATGGGAGTTATCCATAATGTCGTCAAGAACAAGAAAATATGCCTGAAGCTGCAAAATTCATCAACAGAGGATTGTAAGATTCCTCAGTGCCACCGCAGTAAACTTGTGAAATGGTTTGAACTATTTCAGACATACAACAAACTAGAAAAACAAGTGCTTTAAATTGTCATACCCATTCAATACACCAACCAAGAGCACTAGCAAGGAAAATTTCGTCATCATTTAATGCATGTCCTTCTTTTAACAGTCTGTAGCTGTCAATAACAGACAGTCCTCGGTTCAGCTTCCCTGCAATGTAAGTTACAACCCATCTTTATGTCAATAAGCTGTATACTTTTCAAAAATACAACCCAAATACCCCTCTTTTCCTACGGAGGATGGTTACCGTAAGTGTATGTTTAGATTGATAGTGATTTTAGCAAAAGATACACTTTGGAGTTTCAACAAAATCATGGCACCACCATGATTTTGTCAAATTCACTGTCAATCTAAACACACACTACGTTACTTGTTACAAATTTAAAAAAAGAAGAAAACTCAAATCCTACCTCCAGGCACAGTGTAGTCGAGCATCTGCAATAAATTATAGTACAAAACATAATCAGAGAGACAGCAAAAACACATTTTTCATGTTTCAATGAAATCGCAGCCGCAGGTTAAATTTTCATGAAAACGTAAAAGGGGCATCCAAAACCATGTGCAAGTTTCGACAAGAAACAAAACATATTCTGAACATGATTGATCACAGCAAAGCATTTCATAGATAAACTAGCTCACCAATCACATTTTTATCATCCACAATATTCAAACTGGAGTCAAATTCCACTCAGACAAATACTATAATCTATGAAGCACGAGAATAAATTAAAAATTCAATAATGAGTTTCGATATTCCAAATTTGATAATTGAATTAGAGGCGTTGATAAAAGAAATGAAAGGAATAAGATACCCTGTCAACCCATTGACGAGAATCATGAGACCACTCGAAAGCAGCGTCATTGAGAAGCTCAGATTTGAGAACAGAGTAAACATTCAAGAAAGTGGACTTGAGATCTGCCATTGTCTGAAAAAGGGAGAGAGAATGAATGAATGAGGTTAGAGAGAAAAGAATGGTTCCTAAAATTGCGATAAGAGTTATATATAGAGGAAGGGAAGGGAAGGGAAATTGAGAGAACGACAAGTGAGGACCTGCTACTCGGCCGGTGGCTGTGCCTGGCGTGGGGTGAACAAGCCAAGTAAATTATTATTGTTATTATTTTCCATTTTATTTTTATTTTTATTTTTTTTAATATTTTTAGTAGAATCATCTTCTATTTAGTAGTAAAAAATATGTATTGTACCATAGCTGTAATAATTAATTAATGGTGCAGATTAAAAAGTTTTCCAATGATTCTAGTTATTATTCTAATGATTAAAAATTAAAAAAGAAATTGTGGGTTTAAAAAAAACCTCTGTCTTTTATCATAGAAGTTTTTTTTTTCATTTTAATTAATTGATTTGACAATTTCTTATAAATTAAGAAAACTTTATAAATAAAAAGTAAGAAAAAGGAATAGTGTTTTTGATAAAATATTTTTCATTATTACTACTATGTTTATTGATTTTGTCGGATCAGAAATTGACCGTCACAGCTGGTTCAGGCAGAAGTTGAATGAGATAGGGGTACCTGCAAGACACTCCGACGGCAAAGTAAGAAGCGGAATGAGCAAGTAAGTATGAGTTCTGAGATACGAGTTGAATACCTGACCCTCTCGAAAGAGAGGGTATTTATAGCCCCCAGCGTTGGGCCAAGGTCTCTTTATTGGGATGATCAAACGGCCCAACAAAGAGACTGTCAGGTGTTACGTGTGTAGTGGGGTCCTGCACGTGGCCTCCAACCTGGATGACGTCCTCCGCAAGACCGAGAGGATAGGGATGCGATCTTTCCGGGACCATGAAGACTCCGTGAAATCCGGAGAGGTCGGAAGTCAACCCTACAAGGAAGGTGCTCAGGAGGAGTGCATGCTCGTCAGAGATAGTCTCTGCGAGCACCGGTGGGAAGTAGTATTGGTCAACAAGACCTCTGTGGTCGGGATGTGCTCGAGGAAAATACCGCTCAGGGCAGCAGGTTGGCATGCTTGGATTGGGCTTCACTGGTAGTTGGGCCAAGGGCAGGCCCAGTCCAGAACAGGAGCCCCCCAAGTCGTTGCACCTGGTGAAGGAGTTATGACTTGATTCGAGTTTACCCCTTCGCGAGACTCGCTGCGTGACATGGGGTTTTCTATCGTGGACGGAAGACGTCGCCTGGTTCATGATTTGCTTCGTGTAGTGGTCGAAGAGTGTTCGAGGAATACTCGCGGGGAGAGGATGATACGCAAGTCAGACACATGGCGTGGCTCTTGGAAACCACAATGATGGCCTAGGGAGTAGGGGCCATCATTGTCTATGTGAGTAGGTGTCGAGGAGAAAGGCGGCTTATGATTTCCCGACGCGACGTTTCACATTCCACGTCAGCTCTATAAATATGGCTTCAGGGCCCATAACTTGTTTTCACATTTTCGCGCTCCCACATTTTCTCTGCCGTCAACACCGTGCGTTTTCCCAGTGTCATTGAGACCGCCGCATAATCCGCCATGTACTTATCTCAACAACGGTCGCTCCTCATCTTTCCTCCAAGTAGGCGTTCTTTTTCTTTGATATCTTGTGTTGTAGATAGATTTTGATGGTGTTTAGTGGTAGGATTTCGTGTCTGGGGGTTATGCCCGGGGAATTCAATGTTTTAGGTGTCTGATTCATGATCATGCTTGTGGCGTTCATACGTTTAGGCATACAGTTTATGATCATTCCCATGATATTCATGCGTTTAGCTAACAAATTTATGAACTTGGTCGTGAGATTCACCCTTTCGTTAGTATATAGGCTAGTTTTCCTCGTGGCTTTCTTATATCTGCCTAGCAATGTTATGAACTTGGTCGTGAAATTCATCATTTGCTCGCGATATTCTTACTGTGCCCATAATATTTATGATTGATATAGACGTTCGCCGTTAAGATCGGTGTTTGATCGAGGTCCACGTGTTCCCCCTCTTTCGTGCGAATGGTCGTCGACTTGGTCTGAGTGTCGCTTACTTCTCCCCGTCTGTGTCGCGGAAAAGCGAATTTGCTGTTGAATTCACCAGTTTCCTGTACTTTGCAGGTAAATGGCCGATACTCCCGAGTCCTCGGAGCATATTGACATTGAGGGAACCAGCACTGCCGAGGAAAGCATTAATTTGGTCCACACCTTCGACGACCCTACTCTGGACTGGGTCGGTGCAGAACCCTGAGGGATAGCTTTAATCTATAACTATACCAGAAGGCAAGCTTATACGGTCGTCGAGTACGGCAGCGACCAAGAGAGGTTTCGGAGAAATTTTAAGATCATGAGGCCGACACAGGACGCCCGCATTTGCTCGGAGTTTACTCAGGACGCCTTCCCTATGTATAAGATCGTATTTAAAGATCTCGGGCTCCGGCTTCCTTTCAACGAATTCTAGATGGGAGTGTTCAATCACTTGAACTTGGCTCCCTCCCAGATTCATTCCAACACGATTGCCTTTATCCGGGCATTTGAACTTACATATCGTTTCTTGAGGATCGGGGTGTGATACGGTGGCAGAACCGACTGTTTAATACTAGTTTACGTTTTGCGTTTTGTGTTTGCAAAATGTTGCGGTAAGCAAGAATCGCCATCGACTTTTATTTCATCCAATTACGGAATAGGAAAAAGAACAGAAAAAACCTTTTTTCGAGATATTCTGAGTACGGGGGGGTAGATTATAGAAAGGGAAGGTGTTAGCACCCTTTCTATCCGTAGTTATCTACGGGCTCTTAGGTACTTGCTCATTTTTCGAATTGCTTGTGTGTGTTTGTCTTGAAAATGCTTTTACTTCGTGATAACCCTTGTATCAGTCCTCAAGGGTGTGACGAAGCTTGTTTTTGAAAATTTGTTTGAAAAGGTGTTTGTGTGAAAAGTTTTTATTGAGCAAGTACTTAAGATTCTACCTAATCGAAAAAAGTCTGTTTGTTTTCCCTTAGACAATGCTATCCTATTATTAAGGAATAGGTAGCACCGCCGTTGGAGTTGTAAGGGACATTCGAAAGGGACAAGTACAATCACTAAAGCAACAGTTAGAAAACTTTAGTAGTAACCCTAGAATCTTAAGATCTTTTCGAGGCAACATTTTCGAGGCAACATTCGAATGGGACAATTTGATCTCTTTAGACTGGAGAGCAACCGCTAAAATCTCTTATGCTTAATGATTGTTTACCAAAGGCAACCGAAGTGAGGTAAACCCTAGGAGTGAATATGTGCATATGATTTGTTTCAGTTATTTAATCTTTGCACATTAGGTGATCTACCGTTTTGATTTTCCATACATTCTTGCCATACAATCCTATTAGTCATACATCTAGACAGTTAAAGATTAAGGAAATCAAAAGTGCGAGGAAATAAAACCTAGCTATTACAAGACTTCGGGGAGGGGGATTAATTACATAACCAAAAATCGGGGATTTAAACAGTAAATAAAAACCCTAAGTTAACTATTACAAACCCTGAACAGTTACAAAATAATGGGCAAATAATTAACAAGCGCGCGGCAAATTAAATGCGAGGATAATTGAAATAATCTAAAACCCTAATTTGAGAGAAAAGTATTTTTGGATTTTTATTGAAGAAAACAATTTAATTACAAATCAATTAAACCTAATTTCTAATTGTTTTTAAAATTATAAAAGAAATTAAACTAATCTAATTTCCTAATTAAATTAATTAAAGAAATATATATTTATAAAAAATGATCTTTGATGTATTTTAAAGGAAATTAATTAAATTATATACAATCTAAAACCCTAATTCTAATTATTTTTCATTATTAAAAAGGAAATTAAATTGCCCTAAATTAATTAAACTAATTAATTCAAAAAATATTTATTAAGAAAAAGATAACTTTTTGTGATTTTTTTTTATTTGTTAATTTAATAAAAATAATTTTTGTATTAATAAAAAAAAGGAAAAGAAATAAAGAAAAGAAATTAAAGAAAATAATAAAAGAAATAACCAAATGGGCCTGTGATGAATTGCTGAAAGGGGGTGTGGAATTGAAATTCTTGGCCCAAAAACACTCCAAGCCCAATAAACTTTTGGTGCCTTGTATCGTTGACCTAGGGGAGCACCATAGTCCCTCATTGCTGGAACGTTGGATCTGATGGCTTGTTAGATCTAGTGTCTGGATGTTGATGGAGTATGGTAGACCCTTTGATGAGAAGTGCATGCAATTTGCATTTAGAAAATAGGAAAATAAGCATTGCTGAGACCTGGGATCGAACCCAGGTCCTCTATCCTTTCCATTATGCTTGCTTGCCATCTGTGTTACGCGCTCTTGTTGTTAATACAATGCAAACAAAACATATTATATAATAAACACATGGATTAATGAATAAACCAAAAAACGTGTCAACTTTCAAATGATCCAATGGTGATTGGACACGTTGTCTTCTTCTTCCTCATCCGTCGTTGTAGGGAAAAGACTTTTACCTACAGACATAAATCTATAGCTATAGCCCCTGCAAATTTCAAAAATGTACAAAATGCACGATAAATGATATCTAAATACATAGCTCCATTCGTGGTGATCTCGTGAACACCCTGGTATCCTTCTTTTTGGCTAATTTCACCTGTGTAAGAAAACTCTAAATTGCAAACGTTAACCCTAACAATGGTAACATCGTGTATAGGCTTCAAAAACACAATCAAATAATACAGTTAGCTTACAAACATGATGAGGAATACAAATATATGACTTAAACATGCTAAAGATGCCAGGAATACAGTAATCGATTTTGAGTTTGAGGGCAAACTGTGAGAGCAATTACGCGTGTTTCTGGCTGCTTTAAGCCTTGCAACTGATCCAACTGGCTTTTGGGAAGGTCCAAGAATCGATTAGCAGCGTTGGAATGGTCTGAATTGATCTTTAAATGCAAAAACGATCCAACACTTTTTGCCACTTTTTTGGAATTTGGTTTGGTGTTTTCACGACTG